TCTGCACTCCTTACTAATCCCCCTTCCCTTCACTGTCTTTTTCTTGTACTTTGTCTCTAGAAATATTTGGGTTTTACCTTGTATGTATCTTACTGTTGTGTATATCATGTTTCAGTATTTCTAGTTTCAGTAGTGTTAGAGTGTTTTAATGAAAGTGCCAATCGAATGGAATTCCTAATGTTTCCCCTTAATTGCTGTGTATCCAAGGCTGTAGCAGCTGTGGCCAACATTCATATTCAAATTCATTTTGCTTGCTTTTAAGATCATAGTTAGAGTAATTTCATTGTCTGTTCCTAATTTATATTAACTTTCCTTGTTTCAGTCTTTTGTTTTGGTAAGAAAATGTTAGAGGCATGTCTTCTCTCCCCTTTCCTCCAAATGCCGTAGTATAGTGGAGTAATTAGTTGAAGTTTGAGGTGATCTGTTCCCTAACCCATCCTGTAAATATCAATGCTAACAACAGTGTCTTGTGTTTTTTTTCTTTTTCTTTTCTTTCTTTTTTTTTATCAATGTGCTTCTTCCTGTGTGAATAATTATGTGTCTAGAAACAGCCATGGAGTGATTTTGCTGTACTGAATGGGGGAAAGATTAATAGTGACATTTGGAAGGCAAGTATATTGTCAGATTTTAGACCCTTTAATGCTATTACCCTTGTTTTTTTGCATGGCAGTGGCTGTTGTTTTTCCCCTTTTATTTTTCCATGAATGTCATTCATAACCTAGGCCGAAGTGAATGGGGGTACTGCTAGGGATGTCTAGCTCACAAACATGCTGCCTTTTCTGATCTGTCCACTGGGAATGGATTCAGGCTAAACCAGCAGGGAAGCTGCCGTGGCGTAACAAGTCGGATGCCTGCACTGAATGAAATGCAGCTTGAGAATATATGCATGCCTCTTCTCAACTTCAGCCAGAAGTACTATCGCTTCTTTGCAGGGAGGATTTAATTTCCCTTTGAAATAAGAAATAACATAGTAGTGTACTTAAATACTCTATTAATAGCACTTAATACTATACTAATAGCACTGCCTTTATTTCTAGGATCTGCATGCAGCCACTGTGAACCCGGACCCAAGCCTGAAGGAGTTTGAAGGAGCAACGTTACGCTACGCCTCTCTGAAGCTCAGGTACAATGGCTTCAGAAATTACCTGCTCCGGTTTGTGCTGTGCTGTAACTTTTATGTGATTTAAAGATTTATTTTTATCTTTTCTTTTTTTTCTGTGACAGAAATGGTCCACAATCTGATGATGATGATTCCTGTAGCATCAACAGTGATCCAGAATCCAAGGTCTGTAAGAAAATCCACAATGAGATAACAATTAAAAATTTGCAATTGTGAATGTAACTTGCAGGATCCAGTATACATCCTAGGTTTTGAAATTAACTGTACTCCCCACTCTTGGCAAAACTAATTCCATCAAAGGAATTTGCAGATTTAAAGCTTCATTCAATTTGCTCAGGAAAGTGTGACTTACTTGAAAATAACATAAGCCAAGAAATAGAATGTTACAGCTCAAGTTTCTGCTGCCCAACTGTAATAACTGACCCCTTGCACAACTGAGTGAGTTTTCTGTCCTGAGTGAGAGAGGGCTCTGTTGCTTGTCATGAGTGTCAGCTTCCTGGTGCATTCAGTGACAGAATTTGCTCTTTATTCTTGAGTTTGTCCCTTTTTAAAGTACTCTTTGTTTTATGTGGCTGCTTGAACTCGCAGCTAGTAACAAGGAAGTTACTTTTTAGAACAAGGAACTTTGTATTTTATAATAGAGGATGCAACCTAGTTTGAGGATAAAATTTATGGAGGAAAATGAGACCATTATGTGAAAAAGCACCATAATTAAATCAGAGCCTTTACAGTTGTAATCTCAGGTTTTTAAGGAGAAAGAAGCAGCAGAAGGTTCTGAATGCTTGTGTACATATCTCCAAATTTGTCATGTTGATGGTTTTGCCTTGTGCTTGCATCCATTATTAAGGATGCATGTGAATCGCTATAATTGGAAATCCAAGTAATTTAAATAAGTGTTTTGGCTGTGCCATGCACCTGCAGTAACTGACAGGATCAGAAGCTACTTATATGCAGGAAGACAGTATGTAACAGAGTAAATAATTACAATAGCATTAATGATATATTTTAGGAGAGAAAACAGACTGATCAGGGTACTCAAACTTCTTTGTCATCTTGATTATTTGGCTTGTGATGGTTAAATCAAATGTTAATAAATGTGCTTTGCTTGGCAGGCCGGCAGTGGTTGCTAATGATGACAAGCACAAAATTCTGAGCACAGCAAATGGAGTTGGAGGAATGATGAGCATTAGATACCAGTCCTCAGAACAAGAAAGTTGTTCCTTTCAAGATAAGCCTTATGCTACGAAAAGCATTATAGGGAGGCAGGATTTTGATATGTCTCTTTACCAGGCGGGTAGCATTAGGAGCCCTTCCTGCATGGAGAACCATGGTAGTATTTGTGTGGGCAAATAACTCTGTCATCATCTCCCTTCCCTCTCTGCCTTGATGTTTAAACTTCAAGATTTATGGAACTGACACCCACCCGGTCTCTGTGAAGGGAGTCAGTGCAAAAAGCTTGTCCTCTTTGGTCTGTCACAGCTGGTTTTGTTTCTCCTGTTTAGGCAAAACCATGCTGATGATGCTTACATGGGTAATCAAAACAGCGCTGAAACATCAACAGAAGGTACTGAGAGGAGCAAGACAAGAAATAGAGGAGAAACTCTACATGTTTGAGTTATTTTAAAATCCCTTAAGTGAAAGCACCTTACCTGCTGTCCATCACTGCCTGATGGGGACGTTGTGCAAGGGCAGTAGTGACTGCATGATGTGGTCCTGCAGGTGAAGCTCAGCATCGCTGATGTTGCTTTGCAGCTCTGTAGCAGAGCTGTTCAGTGCATCTGCCTCTGCCCCAAGTGCATTTTTAATTCCTGGGGGATGGGAAGGGGGTGTGGTAGGTGGATTCCTTGCTAGCCCGTTTTACCCAAAATATTGTAAGACTGAAAGAAGTCTGTTAGGATTTGAAACTTAATCTGAGACTTGAAAAGCTAGATTTTTTTTTGTAGCTCCCTAGGATCTCCTCTGCCACATGGTGTGCCTTAACTATATGTGATTGAAGCTTGTTTTTGATGGCAGCAGCACAGATACTTCATTTCAGCATGAGAAGGAAGCTTTTTTTAACTCATGAAACTCTCTATTGGACTGATTTGTTAAAATAAACCTTGTTAGAGATATTGTAGAGACCTTAAACCTCTTTAAACCTATTCATGACAGTGGCCAGTACGTTTGAAAAAATAAAAAAAAAAAAAATTAAAAAAAATTAAATTTCCTCAGTGGCACTGAGTAATGCTGTCTTTCAGCAAAGGGAACCATGCCACCTTGTGGAAAGCTTAAGTAGTTGTCTTCCCCCAGAGTCTCTCATCTTCTGCAAAGATTGTAGCTCTGCAAAAATGTCAGATTTGAGAGAAGGGTGTCATGTAGTTCTTGTAAGGAAAGTGACTTATGCAGTTAAGCATTCAACGTTTTCAGTAAACCACAAATGTTTCTCTTGTCCTGTCGCTTGTTACTTGGGAGAAGAGACCAACACCCACCTTGCTTCAACCTCCCTTCAGGTAGTTGTAGAGAGCGATAAGGTCTCCTCTTTTTCTCCAGACTAAACAGCCCCAGCACCCTCACCAGGGGAGGTTTAGATTGGATATTAGGAAGCCTTTCTTCACTGAAAGGGTTGTCAAGCACTGGAATAGGCTGCCCAGGGAAGTAGTAGAGTCACCATCCCTGGAGGTATTTAAAAAATGGGTAGATGTGGCACTTAGGGACATGGTTTAGTGATGGACTTGGCAGTGCTAGGTTAGCAATTGGACTTGATGATCTTAAAGGTCTTTTCCAACCCAAATGTTTCTATGGTGGTCTATACATCATGTGCTTAAGATGCAGTTCAGAGCTTTATATCCCTGGCATCTTGGTGCAGGTTGTCTGCACAAGGCTGTAAAAGAGAAGGGGAAGGGGGAGAAAGGGGAGAATGATTACATCCAGCTTCTTGATTTCAGTAATTTATTTTGCTAGGAATTTCTTGAACAGATGGCTCATTGCACTTGACAAGATCCTAATTCTGCATGTAAAACATGCACAACTTGAAATGAGTTTTGAATTGGTACTTCCCAAGAGACAGATCATAACCTTCCTGGTTAATTTATAGAGCAACCTGTGCCTTCCTAATTGACTTTCAAGGAAGGTAAAAAGATGCTTTTTACCAATCCTGGACTGTAAATTCCTCTGGGCTGTCCCTTTTTACATTGCTATAAAATATGATGGCCATGTGTAAAATTATAGAAAGATGTTAGATTTTTTCCATGCAGTCGTGCAAAGAAACTGAACCTCCTGGGAAACCTCTCTCTTCCTAGGAATGGGTTGGAAAATTAAAAGCTCCTGTGACCCAGTTTCTCAAAATCTTTTAAGAATTGGCCTGCTTGGTCTGACGTTTGGTCTCACCTTTATTCTTTCCTTTTAAATGTGGTTTAATTTAGTCTTTCTGTGTTAAGCATGGAATTTCAAATTCCCTGTCCACATTAAGCTGTTCAGCAGAGCTTCACTTTCCAGCCTTGCCGCTTTAAAGTAGTTTAAGATATATATTGATGTCTAAGAATGGGAAGAATGTGTTTATACCTGCAGAAGTACCAGTCAGTTGCTCCAAAAGTCCGTTTTCAACTTTAGAAACCAGTAAATGCTCAGGATCTCAAAAGAAAGGACTATTTCCAAGAGGGGTAGAGGTGAGATATGCTGATACCAGGTATTTAAATTTAATTACTTAGCTGGAGGTGAATGAAGACATGGCTGGAGACATGGGAATTGAGTTGGTGATGAACTTCTGTGGATTACCTGGACATTAGGGATTAACCAGTTTTGGAGTGATGCAAGGGATGACTCTGACAAGCTGACTTGCCAGACCACTTGTGACTGTCATGAAAGTGGCCTGTGAATAGCACTATAAAAATAATATTACAAAATATTATGTGCCCCCCCCCCGAAGAGTTACTGTCCATCTCACTGCTGCTTTTCTTGCTATGGAGGTGGTTACGTGTGTTTTGGAAATGTCCTACCGGTGCTTGCTTCTGGGCTTCTCCAGAATCAAATACCCTGGCTGGACACAGGGCCATTAGCACATCATCTCCCTGGTGATGAGTCTGATTTCCGATGCAAGTGAAAAGCAGAGAGGAGAAGTTTTTTCCAGTAATTCCAATAAAGGATATAGTCTTTTCACATAGTCAGAGTAGCTTCTAAAATTATTGGTGCAAACAGGGAGTATTCAACATTTTCCAGCAGTTTCCCAGTCCACCTTATGCTCCATATAATCTTCTCATGAGCACATGAAACACTACGAAATGCCTCAGTTCAATTCATTTTAATTAATGGACTCAATTGAATTAATTACATCTGAGGAGTTTGTTGCATCTTCAGTGTTCTTACAAAAAAAAAAAAGATTAGAAGGAAAAAACAGGTATTTTCAACAGTTTTTCTTCCAAAATGGTACTTCTGCTTTGTTTTGGAGTTGAGATTTGTCTCTTTCAAAAACAATTCTTGGTTTTCATTCCCTAGGAAATAGGACCTGTCACAGGGTAGAGAATTAGAAGAAATCTTGAACCCATTCCTTTACTATTATAGGGAATGACAATATATAATCCCATGTATTAATTTCAAGTTTCTTTTTAAACATTTTTTGGTTTGGTTTTTTTTTGCTTTGACTAGTCTGACTGACGAACTGATTCAGGTATTACCTTCCTTTGTATATATCACAAAAATCTTTTAACCTAAACTTTTTGAGGCCATATTTATCCTCTTATTCTGTGTTTAGCCATCTTCTAGTGCATTTATAGCAGGCAATTATGTCTTTTCTTCGGCTCAGTTTTAGTAAAATAAACAAGTGAAGTGCTTTTAATAATTCCTGATGGGGCCAGAAGGGTTGCCAATCTTCTCAGGAGTCCCTGTCTCCCTGACTGTTGTAGCAGCTCTGTGTTTTCTGGCTTTAATTTTAAACTATGGACGATCAGATTTGTTCATTGGGTGGAGTTTTTCCAGGGTCTTGCAGGGTAGCATTAAAATGTCTGTATTCTCTACTGCAAAGTTCTTGATGCATAATTTCATTTACTTTTTTTAACTTCTGAATAGGTTTTCGTTGCAGTTTAAGCCATAATTGTGACCAGTGTGTTTATAAGAGTGAGCAGAAGAAAAGTGCTGGTCTTCATGCCGATAACTTGAATAGCACCTTGGTCAGGAGGGAGGAGCTGTTTTGC